TATAGAGCGCGAATGCGCCGCGCGGGAGGCGTTGCAGGCGGTCGCATGCCAAGGATGGGAGGAGGAGGAGGAGGCGGAGGCGGAGGAGGAGGAAGAGAAGGAGGAGGAGAAGGAGGAGGAGAAAGAGGAGGAGGAGGAGGCGGAGGAGGCGGAGGGGGAAGGATCGAGGGCCGAGGTTTGAAGAGGTGGGGGGGGAGAGAAGGAGGGTGAGGAGACGATGAGAGGGTCGAGGTGGTACAAGGAGGGCAGGGGGCGAGGAAGTGGAGGAGGGGGAAAAGGAGGTGGGAATCGTTGCATAGTTTGCCTTTGTGGGTGCCTTTGGCGGGCTCCCCGTCGCCACGACTGGATCCTCTTCGAGGTTCTGGTCTTGTGATGTCGGAGGCCTCATTGGTCGTTATGATAGAACCCCATATTAAACACAAAATAAACAGGCCGCGACGTGGGTTTCCAACCGACCATTCAAACATATGAAAAACATGTCAAAAACACAGGGCGTGTTAGGATTAGCCGTCACGACAGGAGAAAAAAAAACATCATTGTAAAACAAACCGATGTTGTAAACGCGAACGATGTACGCCATGGTCTGCCCATCATTCGTGCGCGAATCGAAGCGCGCATACAATTCACATGTTGCGCATGTCACGCATCACGTCAACCTCATAGTGGCATTTTCATGTTAGATCCATTCAGCAATACGTTAAGATGTAACGCGCCAAACAACATTCGAAGGAACTTAAGTTTTCGCTTTCAAATAGTATGTGTTTGCAATAGCGGTCGAGATGTTGGTCCGTTGTTTGCCTGAGCATCAGAAAGTCCCGCCCGTAGGGTCCGCCCACGCCGTTCCCTCCCCATCGGGTCGTGCCTGCCCGTCCCCACATGGGGAGGCTCCGCTCGCAACATCATGAAGTGGAGGAGGGTGAGGACGAAGAAAGTGCCCCTGGCGGATCCTGCCAGGCGGAGTTGCAGCAGGTCCGGGAGGACCTCGCGGGCGAGTCCGCCGCGCGGGGCGAGGGTTTCGAGCGCGAATCCGCCGCGCGGGAGGCGCTGCAGGCGGACCCCCCCCCAAGCAATGCAGAAAGAGGACGAGGAGGAGGAGGAGGCAGAGTAAGAGGAGGAGAAGGAGGAGGAGGAGGAGGAAGAAGAAGAGGTGCCGGTACCAGAAGTTTGTGGACCAGCTTCGGCAGGTCTCGATTGCAGCATGTCGTCCACGGGGTTTGCAGTATGTGATTGTATCCCGATGGCAGCTTACGTCTTCAGGATGGAGCGATGATGCGAACAGGAAGGGAGATATAAGGTTTAGATTCGATTGGGCTACAAGGGGTCACGCCTCGAGTGGTTTCTAAGATCATTGCCATTGATGCCATCCTCACTGCATCCAGCCGTGCGCTATTGCCGTAGTCCTCTTCGAGCAGTTTACATCTGGCACGTAGCCACGCCATGGTGCCCAGCGCTGTTGCATAACGGAAAGGTGAGTGCAGGACCAGGACGAGGTTGCCATGCGATCCCTGCCGCTCGGGTCAGCGTGGATAGGCTCAGGGGGGGACGCATCCACTCCCAATCTCTCATGGATCGCCGATAGGGGCCCGACGGCCCACACCGCACTTGACCGTGCCGATTGGCTTTCGGGGGCCAATCGGCGATGTATCGCCGATTCCAGCTCGATGCTTCCTCCCTTGATTGAGCCAGACCTCCCCCTACCGTTGCCCCTCATCGGGGCGTCGGCGGGGGCAGCATGTGCATGATAGGCGCCGGGCTGCTGGCGGGTCTTTCCCAGCCCGCTCTCGTTGCCGCCGCCGTCGTGTTCGCCTCAGCTCCCTCCCACTTGCGCGCATGTATGATCACCGCAGCTCCTGAAATTGGTTCATTGATACCGATCTGATCCGAGGAGAAGAGGGGGTCGAGGGTCTAGGTTCGAGGAAGGGGAGGAGAGGAGGAGAGAGAGGAAGCAGGAGGAGAAGAAGGGATCGAGGGCCGAGGGGAAAAGGAGGGGAGGGCAGGTGGATGGGATCGAGATTCGAGAAGCGGAGGACCGAGAATGGGAGGGGGGGGCGATGAGGGGGAGAAGGAAGGGAGGGCATCCAGGGTCGAGACTCGAGGAGGGGATGCAGGATGAGGACGAGGAGGACGGGGAAGGAGGAAAGGGAGGTGATGGGAAGGGGGATGAGGCGGGACAAAGGGGGATAATGGAATCAGAGGCCAAGATTCGAAGACAGAGTTTTCAGTGGCTTCTTTTGACATTTGTGGGGCCGTTGGTGGGCTCCTCGTCGCCAAGGCTGGAGTAGTTTCGAGTTGTTGGTCAAACCGCACCCATGGGCAGGACAGAGGGGGATTTACGAGGGAGAGGGAGGCCGAGGACGAGGACGATGACGAAGAGTAGGAGGAGGAGCCGGAGGAGGAGGAGGAAGAAGAGGAGAGAGGAGGAGGATAAGGAATGATAAGAAAGAGAAGTAGGAGGAGGAGGCCGAGGAGAAGGACAAGTATCATTGCCTCTAGGGGGAAGGAAGAACTGTCCCGGAATGGGAATGGGTCAGAGGAGCAGGACAATTGAGTGGAGGCGGGTGCCCAAGAGGAGACGCGTTGGAGAAGGAGAAAGAAGAGGAGGACTAGCCCCAGGATGCATCACAGATGCTGCCGTGCACCCACCAGTCCCAAACTCCCTCCTCGGAAGCCCCCGCAAGCATCATTTTATTTTCCACTGCGGGAAGCTCCCTCCTTGAACGACGAGCGCCCGGAGGGCTTGTCACTCCGGCGAGACTCCGCTTTGCAAAGGATCCCCCGAGCAACCTGGCTAGCTCAGAGAGACACAACGAGAAACTCGAAGACGTATCCAGCGGTAGCCCCGCTGTGAGAAGGATTTACCTCGGGAACTGGAACATATACACTACCAGTTGCGGGTTCTTTTTTTCAATCCCACGATTTTTGAGGGTCGGGGACGACGTCGGGGTGGTGTGGTGTACACTTTTCCCCCGTTTTCCAAGGGAAGCAACGAAACATGTATACACCAGGATCCCGTACACACCAGGATCCGCGTTCCTGTGCAAATTTCAGCGCAGGGTCGGAAAAAGCGTCGGTGTATAGAGTTCGTTTCCCTACTACCCTCCATCGGTGTAAGTGTTGCGCAAGTTCAGATCTCTGGTCACAACTTCTGCGGATGTCTCAAGCTTGAGCCCCATAATGCAAATGAGCCGCCCTTCTCCCACTGTTTGGGCTGTCGGGTCAGAGGCTCCAAGGAAGCAGCCTCATTTTGACCACGAGCTGGCCTCCATCCATTTACTGGTTGGAAGTGTTTAAAAGGAATGCGCTCGGCGCATATGCGAGAGCCGCATTTCGAAAACTGCATCTCTTTATCAGTGTCAGTCTTGAACAGGTTTTGGACGAGTGCTCGCGGTGCTTCTGCGAGGGCTGCTTTTTAGAAACGACTGGCCTTCCACCCTCGTCGTAGCAGTTGGAAGCGTCCGGCCCGACTTCTCCAGCCAAGGCTGGTCTCCCCTAGAATTCTTGGTCAGCACTTGTCGGTGCAAGGCTCCAGGGGAGGAGGATGGGGATGAGGTGGTGGAGTGGACGGAGTGGGGATTTTGTGAGACGAATGCCCGCGGATTTGGGCCGGGAGCCACATACTAACCACGATTCGCCCTCCGTCTGTGTAGCTTTTTGCACATTCAGAACAGGAATCGAGTGCACGCGGTGCTAGAGCGAGTACCGCATCTTCTGAAGCATTCGCTGGAAACTTCTCAGACGGATGAGCGCGGCGCCGTTGCGAGAGCCACATCTTGCCAACGGCCAGCCGCGTGATTGTTGGACATGTTAGTGTCCAGGATCTCAAGTCGTTATGGTCGAGGAACGTAGGACGAAAGGCTCGGTCCGCCCCACAGATGCTTCTGGTCTTCCGGTGAATAGTTATCCATATGGGACGTTGCAGGAGGAGAAGCAACACCAGCAGGAGGAGGAGGAGGAGGGTGAGGACGAAGAAAGTGCCCCTGGCGGATCCTGCCAGGCGGAGTTGCAGCAGGTCCGGGAGGACCTCGCGGGCGAGTCCGCCACGCGGGGCGAGGGTTTCGAGCGCGAATGCACCGCGCGGGAGGCGCTGCAGGCGACCGCATGCCAAGGATGGGAGGAGGAGGAGGCAGAGGAGGAGGAGGAGAAGGAGGAGAAGCCGGAAGAAGAGACTGAAGAGGAGGCAACGTGCAAGGAAGAGGAGGAGGAGGAGGAGGAGGAGGAGGAGGAGGGGGGAGGAGGAGGAGGAGGAGGAGGAGGAGGAGGAGGAGGAGGGGGAAGGATCGAGGATTGAGGTTTGAAGAGTTGGGGGGGGGAGGAGGGAGGAGGGAGGAGGAGGAGGAGGAGGAGGAGGAGGAGGAGGAGGAGGAGGAGGGGAGGAGGAGGAGGAGAGGAGGGTGGGTGACGACGGGGGGATCGAGGTTCAAGGAGGGGAGGGGGCGAGGAAGTGGAGGCGGAGGGGGAGAAGGAGGTGGGACAATACCCTGAGCAGGGGCCGAGGTTCGAAGGAAGAGTTGTTCGTTGCGTTTTGTTGCCTTTGTGGGTGCCTTTGGCGGGCTCCCCGTCGCCACGGCTGGATCCTCTTCGAGGTTCTGGTCAAAACGAACCCGTGGGCAGGTCGGGGGGAGAGGTGTGAGGGAGGAGGAGGGAGGAGGAGGGAGGAGGAGGGATGGGGAGGGGAGGAGAGGAGGAGGAGGAGGACCTGTGTGAATCCAAGCCTCAACAAGTATATTGTAATAACCCTCCCTCCAAGTTCCCTCTTCCCAGGCGCCTACAGGGACTCATATTCACGAAAGGGAGTGCCCCGTTGGAGAACAGCCGTTTGAACATCCTTAACTGTGCCAAGACACCATTCCTCGGACTTCACCACCACGGATCAACGTAACCGTTGCGCCCTGACGGTCCAGCATCGTGCCAGAACGCCATTCTTTGGAACGTTAATCATGGTACTCCTCGGAAGCGCTGTAAACTCTGAAAACGAATGGGCGCAGCGCTAAGGCGAGAGTCGGATTTTGAAAAGGAGCCGCCCTCTATCCGTGACCTTCTTCTGTAATTGTTATGACGAGTGCGCGCGGTGCTAAGGCGAGGGCCACATGTTGAAGAGGAACCGTCCTCCATCCATGAAGCTCTTGCATTTGTGATGACGGCTGCGCGCGGCGCTAAGGCGCATGCTTCTTCAGGCGAGACTCCCTTGTGTAAAGGGTCCCGCTTCCATGTGGCCAGCTTGAAGAGACAACGAGGCATGATGAGGCAAGCTGAAGAAGTATCCAGCGGTAGCCCCGCCGTGAAAAGGATCTACCCTCCATCGGTGTAAATGATGACAAGTTCATAGCTTTCGTCAGACGCAGTGCGAATATCTCGAGCGAGAGCCCCATGTTGCAAAGGAGCCGCCCTCCTCCCGTGTAGTTTTGTTGCGCCAAGTGGACTGCCAGGTCGCAGGTTCCAAGGACGCAGCCTCATTTTGAACACGAGTTGGCATCCACCCACCTAATGGATGGAAGTGTAAAACAGGAGTGCGCTCGGCGCCGATGCGAGAGCCGCATTGCGAACACCACATCCCTTTACCGGTGTCAGTCTTGAGCAAGTTTTAGGCGAATGCGCGCGTCGCGAGGGCGAGAGCCAGCCTCCACCCATGTAGCTGTGATAACATGTACAGCGACGTTGCGCGACGCGTAATTTTTGGAAGCTTCGGAAACGAATACGCGCAGCGCTAAGGCTACAGCTGCATTTTGTAAACGATTGGCCCGCCTTCCTTATAACTGTTGGGAGCTTTGAAATCGAATGTGCGCTGTGCTACTGCGAGGGCGGCTTTTTAGAAACGACTGGCCTTCTACCCTCGTCGTAGCAGTTGGAAGCGTCCGGCCCGACTTCTCCAGCCAAGGCTGGTCTCCCCTGGAATTCTTGGTCAGCACTCGTCGGTGCAAGGCTCCGGGGGAGGAGGATGGGGATGAGGTGGTGGAGTGGACGGAGTGGGGATTTTGTGAGACGAATGCCCGCGGCTTTGGGCCGGGAGCCACATGCCAATCGCGATTCGCCGTCCATCTGTGTAGTTGTTGCACATTTAGAACAGATCTCGAATGCACGCGGCGCTACAGCGAGAACCGCATCTTCTGAAGCATTCGTTGGGAACTTCTCAGGCGGATGAGCGCGGCGCCGCTGCGAGAGCCACATCTTGCCAACGGCCAGCCGCGTGATTGTTGGATATGTCAGTGTCCAGGATCTCAAGTCGTTGTGGTCGAGGAACGTAAGACGAAAGGCTCAGTCCGCCCCACAGACGCTTCTGGTCTTGCGGTGAAGAGTTATCCATATGGGACGTTGTAGGGGGAGAAGCAACAGCAGCAGGAGGAGGAGGAGGGTAAAGACGTTCAAAGTGCCCCTGGCGGCTCCTGCCAGGCGGAGGTGCAGCAGGTCCGGGAGGACCTCGCGGGCGAGTCCGCCGCGCGGGGCGAGGTTATCGAGCGCGAATGCGCCGCGCGGGAGGCGTTGCAGGCGGTCGCATGCCAAGGATGGGAGGAGGAGGAGGCGGAGGCGGAGGCGGAGGAGGAGGAAGAGAAGGAGGAGGAGAAGGAGGAGGAGAAAGAGGAGGAGGAGGCGGAGGAGGCGCAGGGGGAAGGATCGAGGGCCGAGGTTTGAAGAGGTGGGGGGGGGGGAGAAGGAGGGTGAGGAGACGATGAGAGGGTCGAGGTGGTACAAGGAGGGCAGGGGGCGAGGAAGTGGAGGAGGGGGAGAAGGAGGTGGGAATCGTTGCATAGTTTGCCTTTGTGGGTGCCTTTGGCGGGCTCCCCGTCGCCACGACTGGATCCTCTTCGAGGTTCTGGTCTTGTGATGTCGGAGGCCTCATTGGTCGTTATGATAGAACCCCATATTAAACACAAAATAAACAGGCCGCGACGTGGGTTTCCAACCGACCATTCAAACATATGAAAAACATGTCAAAAACACAGGGCGTGTTAGGATTAGCCGTCACGACAGGAGAAAAAACATCATTGTAAAAAAACCGATGTTGTAAACGCGAACGATGTACGCCATGGTTTGCCCATCATTCGTGCGCGAATCGAAGCGCGCATACAATTCACATGTTGCGCATGTCACGCATCACGTCAACCTCATAGTGGCATTTTCATGTTAGATCCATTCAGCAATACGTTGAGATGTAACGCGCCAAGCAACATTCGAAGGAACTTAAGTTTTCGCTTTCAAATAGTATGTGTTTGCAATAGCGGTCGAGATGTTGGTCCGTTGTTTGCCTGAGCATCAGAAAGTCCCGCCCGTAGGGTCCGCCCACGCCGTTCCCTCCCCATCGGGTCGTGCCTGCCCGTCCCCACATGGGGAGGCTCCGCTCGCAACATCATGAAGTGGGGCCCAAACATCATAAAAAAGGCCCATCGCATAGGGTCGTATGTGTCAAGACCCACATGTGCGGCTTCCCCCACAGACCCCAACCCAGGTCATTTTAATTGCAGGACGCACCATCGGGCCCCGATCTGAAAACCGCGCCCAGATACACTGTCTGATATTTCAGCGTCCGGGGTATTTAATTTAAAGAGGTAATGCGGTCTCGCCCATAGGGTCCCGTCGTTGCTCGGAAGGCCAAACACGCAGGGACTTGGTCAACACAAATGGGCGCATCTTGGGTTCGATGCGTCGGGTGGCCTTAATAATTATTGCTTCGCAAGGAGCGAGAGGGCCCGACACACACCTGCCGCTGCAAGCGCGGGTTTCCCATCTCCTCCCCCGTGCACTCGTCCCAGCAGCTGCGCATTGGGGGATAAAGGGAGAGAAGGCGAATTATGGGAGGAAAGGGGCAGAAGGAGGAGGGGGAGGATGATAAGGAGTTTGATGGGGGAGAAGAAAAAGGATGAGAAGGAGGATGGTGGCGGGAAGGCAGGTAGTAGAGGAAGAGGGGACAGAAGCAGGCCGCTCCCCTTCTCATCGTCATTCTCCGTGCCGCAACCTTTTTTGTTCGACGCGGGCCTTGTGTGCTTGCGGCTCCATATTTCAATGTACTGCATGTCCTTGCTGTCCCATATTCTTTTCATGTCATGCATGGAATTCTGGTCAAACCTCGCCGAATGCGTGCTGGATGAACACGCCATTGACAATGATGACGTGCCGCCAGATTCTCTCGGTGGTGCTTGGGCAAAAGGCTGCCGATCATATACTACGCATGCAGTCATATATCCAGGACACCATCGATTCTCCTACTGTTGGTGGTGCTTGGGCTAGCATGGCTGCCGATCATATGCGCCTGCAGTCAGATATCCAGGAAGGCATCGATTCTCGTGTTGGTGGTGATTGGGCCGATTATATAACTTTGCGGTCAGATATCCAGGAAGACAACGAGTCTCTCGATGCAGATTTTCTTGATTCAATCGATCACGAATGCCGTCCAGCAGATGGTGTTGTTCCAGGGGTCGTGCCAGACAGCGCCATGCGTCACATTCTATCGGACCGTGCTTCGACAACAAACAAGATTGTTTGCACCTCGTGATGCGAAAGACGATGGTTGAGGCTAAGACATCAAACGCACACAACGAGTCGGTCAAAAGAATTGCGGATGAAGTGATTTTTAACCCTAGATGCAAGGTGCGATCTTTGGAGGAGTTGGCCGAACGATGCAATGCAGATCGCCGAACAATGCCACAACATCTTATGGTGTTGGCTCAGAGTGTGCTGGAGGCCGAAAGGCTTATGCGGTCGAAGCTGGAGGCGGAGATTCTCATGACATATGGGAAAGAGAATATGCTCATGTATGTTGACAGCGTTTGCTTCGATGAGACACCAATGCCAGTTGTGTCGTCAGAGATGCCTGCAGAGAGGGACATAGTTCTATATGGTGACAACGTACAACTCGTGCCGCGAGAAAACAGTGGTGTGTTGTGTGTCCCACTTCTGATGCAGCAATCTCTGGATTCAGCCAAACTCAATGTAGAACTTCCTCATAGTGAACAGACATATGCCATGTTGGATCGTTTACCTCCCGGACCAGACGGCCGCCCTCAATACGGAGTTTTTCTTGGTTCAACAGTGAACTGGTTGCAGAGAGTCGAGTCTACAAAGACATTACGTGTGAGAGATGCTATGGAGAGAGTTTCT